TATATATACATACACATACATATACATATACATATATATATAAAATACTATGAGTGTCTTCCAAAAAAAATCATCCAATACTGAACTAAGCCTAGCAAAGATGACCTCATGCTCATATTATTGGTTTTATTTTGTCACCACAATTCTCAGAAATTCATATATGCAATATTAGTGTTTTCTGTAAAAACCCTCAACAGTGTGAACGTAGGTCAGTGTTGAGGTCAAAGGATTTGAATGCATTTTATTGCCACAATATGTCAGAGCCTGTGGGTATACTGCAAGGAACAGGTCTGTTGTGGAAATGTTGTGGCAGTGCACAGCTGAGACAGAAGATTAAAAATAAAACTGACATCTATCCATTTACTTTGTCCGGGTTTCCTTCCTGGATATGTCCAAGGTCCATTACAAGGAGAAATTAAGTTACTAATAAACCTAACATGCCTGTTTTTAGTCTGTGGGAGGAAACTGTAAAGGAAACATGCAGACAGAAAGGAGCCGAACCTGTGACCTCCTCCTGGCTGTGAGGCAGCCCTAACCACTTCTCCACAGTACCACCTCAGAAAAATGGACCGTTTTTATTATTATTATTATAATCATATACATTCACAAAAACATGATTTAAAGCTGCGTTCGTTTTAACACAACTGTGCATTAATGCCAACAGATTAAAAACCATAAAGGGAACTTTTGTTCGGAGGAAAAAAAAGCTTTAAAGTTAGACAATGAATGACTGAACCGGCTTAACTGACTTGTGATATCAGAATTGTGACACCTGCTCATTCCTCCTGTCTACTAGCAGATATAAATTTTAAAAAATAAATAAATAAACTCTACGTTTGCTCAACTCACCTGTCTGTGGAGGAAAGTATCCGTCAGTGAAACGCAGCTAGCAGTTAGTTATGTTCTTAACTAGCTCAAATAAACTGGCTGGACGGGATGCGTTCAGTGCAGTCGGGACATTTTTCACTGACGTTCACTTGCTTGTCAAATTAAAAAAAAAGAACATTGTAATTTCTACCGCGCAGATAGTCTCACGCAACGTGACACAAACATTCAAAACATATAACAGCTGCTTTAACCGGAATCATGGAACTACGCGGTTGTGTTGAATTATTTGGCACGGGTTACAAAGAGCGGTTTGTCCCTGAACGCACCCTGTAGCTGGAGGGCTGCGGGCTGCAAAGTATCGCTCCTCGTACTTTTTTTTTTTTAATATTATCATTATAGAACACCCTTCAGAGGTAGAATATAGGGTTAAGACAGCAACTGTTGTAAATTCCAGTTCACACCTAACCCTTCATACATTAACTTTTAATCTAAGGTGGAAAATGATGCTGGAAAGGTGACACCAAGCACCGAGGCTTAATTTACAATAAGGTGGCCGCAGCCACCTGTGTTGTGCACAAATAACGAGTTTTGGGAAAACTAAGCTTGTTTGTCTGCAGGATGGGGACACATGCATTCCAAGCATTTCAGCAGGTACTAGACCATATATTTAATGGTGTGTAGTTTTTGAAATGCCCCCATAAAGCCAGTCTTTTGAAATACTGTGTTTTGCATTTTAAAAAAATGTTGTTCAAGACTTGTTTTTAACCCTTAATGAGTTCTATAACTTCAGCGAAAACAGGTTGTGTTTGGCAATCAAACTCACACAAATAATGTGTCATAAAGTCCATGACAACAAGGCGTGTTTCCAAATTTATGTGCTTAGAGAGGCTTTTGCTTTGTAGAATTGGGCCTTTATTCAAAAACAGCCTTTGCTTCAATCATCTATATCTAATACGCCTCAGGTAAAAAAAAAATTAAATAAAATAAAATCCCTCTCCCTGTTTTTACAAATTGGCAGCAATATACCTGTTATTGCTCGTTTTTAATTCATTTAACGTCTTTAAAGATGAATCCTGCACGTCACTCAGTGTCTTCTCCTGTAGCTCGTCACCTAAATCTGCTAACTATGCATCAGTCAACTCTTCTTTTTTTATTTACTGAGTCCTTTGAGTGCAGAGAGGCATTTTGACGAGCTCACCGGTTTCCAGGAAAAGATGTGGATAATTGGGGTCCAAGGAGAGCGCAGGTTGTCAGTTCTTGTTTATGTCGCCCTGTGCAGGCTGTTGTTTGTTGTACTTTTAGGTCTTGAAAGCTGCAGGTCTAGTTTTTTACACTGTTTGGCAATCACTCAGCGACTCAGTCTGTTACAGTCCTCACAGCTTGATCAAAATCTCCCTTAAATCTTTACGAAAATAGTAATAAATTTTAGGGAAACAGTCCATTTCACACATCTTTCTAATGTGTTGTTTGTATTTGTTCATTTCCTACACAGAGTAAATGTGCAGCGCCTTCATTGTAATAGGAAAATCTTAACTCTCTGGTTTAAAACTTCTCGTTAGTTTGTGAGGGCTCATAAATCCTTATCATCACGGTTAGAGTCCAATCAAGAGTTAACTGTTATATAAAGTGTAACTCTGTAATCCAGAAAGAAAAGATGCTCAGGTGCTGTGCATGCATGTACACGTTTAAATTAGGAGTCATTAGTTTAGAATGTCTTGTATTTGTGAACCCCTGGCTGCTAGCTGTTGATTGTGGGAGATTAAATCTCACGGTTTGAGGAGGGTTGGACCTAAGAATTCAGACTGACGTGAGGAAATTAAATTAAAAAATGAAATAAGTCATTCAAAACAAGCAAAGCAGGTTGAAGTGACAGCAAAAAAAAAAAAAAAAAATCAAGTGGAGAGAACACAGAGGAAGCGGACATGACATAAAGCACCACAATGCTACACTGAAGAGGAGTGGGAGGAATAAAAAGGCTGGGGGTGTCTGCTGGGGGAGCGATACTAAGAATTCTGGTGTCAATTCAATACCAAATATAAAGCTAGTATCGCCGATACAGATACTTGGCATTTTCATTGAATAATTTTGTGATTTTGCCTTCAGTTTAACAATTATAATACAACAAAAAGTACAAAAAGTTTTGTATTAACTAAGCAGGAGCTGATTGTTGAAAAGTACAGAGGAAACGTGAAGTAATGAGGCAGAGGGTACTGGTGAGAAAAACTAAACACTTAAAAACAAAAGAAAGAAATCTACAGTGAATATGACCTAAAGAAGTGTGAGTCCTTCCCCTGCAGGATCAGAGGTACCCAGGGTCCAGTGTCTGTTGTCCTCCTCTGCTTTGTGGAAGCTGAAGAGCGTGTGAGGCATCACCTCACAGCTACTCTTTGTCACACTGCAGCACCAGCAGGCATTGTAATGTACATTTTTGTTGACTCCTCCGCAGTTGATTGTGTTAACACAGGGCATTGTTTTGTGGGACTTTTGTCATTGTTTCAACCTTTTGGTGTCAAGTTCCTGCTCACAGGTAAGTTGTAACTGATGAGAGTAGCACGTTATTCTGAATACAAAATAAAATAAAAATAAAAATACTTCCATAACCGTTTTACTGTGTCAAGCTGTTAACAGCTTACGTCGTAGACTTTTGTACCCCTTGAGCTCACTCCTTATCTAAATTACTATTTATGCATTGCAATGACTTTCTTTAAACTTTGAGAACTGTCATGTTCCAAATAGGTGGTACTTTGAAATGCAGGCAAATACAAGGAGCTCGAGTAAAAGCTTAACAAAACAAAATCTAGGGGAGCCGCGGAAGAGAAGCGAAGAATATCCAGACTGGATGTGGACACCGCAATGGTGGACTGCAGGTAGATGAAACCTGAGGGAAGGGCTGATGAGGTAAGTGGCTGCAGCTGAGACTAATAAGAACGAGGAACAGGCACAGTGAGAGGAGCGGCACTGAGGAGCAGAGACAGACTGTGGGAAAGTACTGAATGTAAACAGAAACCAAACGCGCAAGAAGCTCCCAAAAGATACAGATCCTGATGAGAACACCATCATGCTTCCATTAAAAAAAACATTATTTAATGCTAAAAAGCACTTTTTAAAGCTTCTTTAATTCATGACTCACCTGATATAATTAAAATCCATAAATTAGGTAGCAAATGTACAGAAAATCTAAATGAAATGTGTAAAAACTCTGCAACAATTCATCTTGATATATTGTACTACAGCATTTCCACTGAATTAAAACAACCAAAGTTCATTTTACTTTAGGTGACCTTAGAATAAACTGAAGACACCATAAAACTTGATCTGCAGAACAAGAACTGATACTTTTGTGTGCAAATTATGATCAGGGTTTTCTTTTCCTTTTTTATCCTTAGCCACTTAAAGCAGAACTGAATATTAGTTTATAGTTTCTTCATCATCAGTGAGTTTTTAAAGAAGAAATAGAAAGAGAAGAAAAAGGTGAAATGTAATGGGAAAGAGTAAAAGAGAGATTAGAAGATATGTGAAACATACCCATACCTACATACACACACACACACATATACCAGAGCAGATCCAGGCAAGGACACAGAGGACCGGGCACCCAGGGCGCATCTCCCCCCAAGGCCAAGGTCCGACAGCGCCAGAGGACCCAAACCCCACCAGGCAGCCAGCGGGCCGAGCCCTGTGGCTCCATCTTCATCCATCTCACTCCAACTTCCTCCATGTCCTGTCTAGCTGCGTCCATATGTCCTTATTGTCTTTTTCCTTACAGCTGCATCTCATCTACTAATACATCCCTTGTCTCTCCTCTGGACATGTCCACACCATCTCAGTCTGGCCTCTTATCTTATCCAGCTATACATTGAAGAACATGGTACAATGTTCCTTTAATTTGCAGCTCGAAAGTACATCTGTAAGATGGAATTGAAGGTCTTTAGTGTTGAAGTGCTGCCCTCTGCTGTCTCAACCTTCACATTACAGCTGAACAAAAATAAGACAAAACTGGATAAAGAGAGAGAGAGAGAGAGAGAGAGAGAGAGAGAGAGAGAGAGAGAGAGAGAGAGAGA